TACCCCTTGGTTAAAAAGATAAAATTTGGTTCTACTTTAGACTTATGCATATGGATGCGACTAAGCCTGAGGAACCACGAATTTGAAAATTTTGCTTTGTTAATATGGTTAGATTGAAAAGAATGACAAAGGGTAATCTATGGACCAAACCCCAATGACTGTCTCAAGTTAGTGGCTGGAGCTGAAAGCATAGATCAAAACTTCTAAATAGACATGACTACGGGCCGAACCAAAGAGCCCTGAACCGACACATGGTTAACCTGCCTTCAATAGCTCGTGGTTTGCCCAGACTGATTCCGGGTCACATATATGTACTTTTTGAACCGTTGGGCCTGTTCCGAACTAGAACCGGTGATTCAGTCCTTTTTTTTTTTTAATTTTATTTTTTTTAGTGAAACAGGTAGGACTGGAATCGACCTCGAATCAACGATTCACCAAACTGGGCCATGCATTTGTTCGGGCTGATATAGGGTCGTCCAACCCTTGGACCAGAACCAACAAGTTCCAACCCCAAATTAGGCCTGAAATTGATTTTAGTCATGTCTACTTAAAAGTTCCAACCAGCAACTACCTCTGGCGACTCCCAGAATATAAGATGCTCAGAAGACTGTCAAATAACTCCGTTTGTGTTGACTTGGATGCAAGTGTCAACATGAAAACTGACAGATCCGATATAGGTGGAATAACCCGTGAGGATTATAATAGAGCTTTTTTTTTGCTTTTAGATTGTCAATCAGTAATTCGGGTTTGGTTATCCATGGTTAGTTCTTGGCCATCAAAGAAGGTTTGGATAAATATTGCTCGTTGTACAAAGTTTTTTTCTTTATTTACATGGACTTTTCATTGGGGCCAAGCAATACCGACTTCCAATAACACGTGAATACATTTGCTCTTGGTCGAAAGATATTGATACTCTTATGTCTTGGTTGAATAATATCACTACTTTGCTTCTTTTTCAAACTCCTATTTCTATTTCTTATAGAATGTAATGTTTTTCCTATTTGACTTAAAACTTATCTAATGTACCAATTGACAATCTATTTGATCTCTGATAAGTTTCTTTTCCCTTAAAAAATCATAATTACGAAATACACATAAAAATTCCTTTCCCTCTCTACTTTCTCTCTCTAGGTCTCCGTATCAGCTGCAGCTCTGCAATCCTCCATTTTTGTCCTACTCTTTGGTTTCTTGATTATTCGAATTCCTTTATTTTCTCCCAAAAATAGGCAAATTTTGTAGACAAAATTAGCGAATTTCAATCATTTGGCGCTTTGATTCTTACTTTATTTTCTTTTCCCGTAATTTTGGGGGTAGAAAAGAGAGGGAGCTGCCAAATTTCGTACACATTCTGAAATAATTTTGAAGTTCTTTGGATGTAAGTGAAAAAATCCGCACGCGAAAATGGTGAATCCTTCGTTTTCTCGTCGCCCCATTTCAATTTGATAAAGGTATGATGCTTTTGTTCTCCATTTATCCTCTGCGCGTTCGTATCTGGTGACGGCCGTGTGTGCTTGTGTTCTTTTCGTGCGTATGTGTTTGTGTTGACTAAATTTCTTTATCCAAAATCCTCGCAAGAAATTAGGGGTTCTTCTATATTGATCGGCAGGTTTAACCGATTGGATCAGTGTATGTGAAGATCGGTGCATTTTTGTATATTGGATTAGTTCATTTGCTGGGTTTTCTGACATCGATTTTCTGGGCTTGAGGTTGATAGGATGTAATGAGTCTGTAATGGCTGCGGTGTTTCGTATTTATTCTATTTTGGGATTGGTGTGGAAAGTATCGATTATTTATTGAGATGTGGTGAAATTTGGAATCTTTAAAGTGATGCATTGCATTTGTTTCACTTTAGCTGTAACACCTGATATAACAATCGGGTTCGGGTGTTCTTTCCATTTGATTCATTTTATTTTGTACCGGAGATTGCACTGACAAAAGAATTGTAAGAATGTTGATTTGATGAATTTATGATAGCATGATTGGATACGAGATTGGAAATTGCTGGTAAATTGTGTATTTTTTGGGAATACTTATAAGCAATTGCATGTGTAGGGGAAAAAAATCAATGGAGGATTGAAAATAACCGTCATTTTGTGAATATGGTTATTAACAAGTGTATGTCACTTTCGATATTCTAACAAAATTCACTCATCGCCTAAAGTTTTGAGTTTACATGTCTCGTGACTGATACTATTCCCAAGTATTGAGGAGATTTTTGTTGAAGAGATGAGAAATTCACTTGTTTTACAAATTTTGTGTTCGATTGAACTTAGAAAGTGTTTTTTAGATGAAGGAAGTACTTTTCTGTTCAGTCCATCAATCCCCATAACACTCGGTTCCAATCTTCTTGTTGTGTATGCTCGTTCGATTATCTTATGGAACTAATTATATAGGATCAATCTAGCTCGATGGTTTGAGTTTCATTTGACAACTGTGGTAATAATACCATTTGTTCTTTTGTTGAAAACTTCCAGTTTTTTTACTTTTTTTCGACCTGAAGTGACGGAGGTTTTGTTTCCTGGACAAGATAATGGTGACGTGTTTAGATGGGGTGAAGCATATACTTTCTACTGTAGTAAATTGCTGTGAGTCTGGTATTAACAAGCAACCTAGGGGACTCGGAAATCCTGAAGCTCTAGCTAGAGAGACCGTGTGTAAGTTCTTCTAAATGTTGTTGTTGTTGTTGTTTTCTTTTTCTTTTTTCTTTTTTTTTTTGGCTCTTTTGATATGTTATCATTGGTGCTTCTCTTATAACAAAAATTGCATTTTCCAAATTCTTGGTAATGATTCTGTCACTTGGAAGCGAGTTTATCCAGTTCACAGAAAAAAAGTAAAAATAAAAATTAACTCCTCAGATCATTCCCGATCATTGCTTGAATATGTACAGGGATTTCTTGCTAATTAGCTTATATCTTCTTTTAATGCCAGTCAGTGTAAGCGAAATAGAAGCACTATATGAATTGTTTAAAAAGATCAGCAGTGCTGTGATAGATGACGGGCTGATTAACAAGGTATTATGCATTGAAATTTTCTTTTCCCTGATATTAAAAGTTGCTTTATGGACCTCGGTTTGTAGTTTATGCCGTTAAGAATATTTCACTTGCAGGAAGAATTCCAGCTAGCGCTGTTCAAGACGAACAAAAAGGAGAGCCTTTTTGCTGATAGGGTTAGTTATCATGTGTCAGTCATATTGCAAACTTCTAAAACATCATGTTTGAACTTTTTTTTTTTTTTTTTTTTTTTTT